CGTGAACATGTTTATTTGTGATAGTTGAAATGATGCTTCGACATGTTTAAAGTTGAAGTTTTAGATCATGTATGTATGATATATGATGTATGGTGAGGTGTGATTCATATGTATGCTTGGTAATGATATATATGAATGTTTAAATATGATATGACATTAATAAAATAAGAGAAAAAATAACAATTTATAAAACACACATATACTGCAATATTAGAGAGACCTTTTGGGTAATGACCAAAAGCAAAACCATAAGGACTTTAAAATATCTCATCATTATGGAGTATATTTGTATAATAACCTTATAAAAATAACCCTATCAAAAACTGTTTTCTAAAAGTTGAACAATATTTGAACCAAAGAATGCAGCTCCTATCAATTGTAGAATAAGAAACACAGCTGTCACCATGAACCAAGTCTTCCAAATGCTAAATTTATTACTTCTTAGCTAGGTGGGGGTTGCAACTAACCCATGCAACAATATTTTGGGCTTGAAACCTTGTGCTGAAATTCAACTTATTCAATAGAAATAGAAGGCAAGGGTGGAACTTAGAACTATTATCATCTTAGAAATAATCCTCTTGGAAATAAAATTTTATAGTCATATCATCATATGAACCAATTCACCTAAAAGCTTATGACTCCTCTAGAATGAATCATTCACTTTTGAGAGTACTAGTAGAGATAAGAGATCCTAACCTCTTAATTTTTTTGAAAATTAATAAAACAATAAAAGATATAGTGAAATAGATGATTGTGGATGATTATTTAGAGAGAACATGAGTTTTTTTTTTTTTTTAACTTTTTAATATTTGAATAATATAATGATTTACTATAAAATGAAGATTCAAAAATGGTTACACACCTCTATCTCCTTATAATACGTACTTAGAGAAAAAAGAGTTGTCTCGTGCCTCTCCATTTGAAAATAAAAATCAAAAGATAATAAGTTGTTATTTAAAAGGTGAAATTTTTGAAAATTAAATATCATGGAAAGTAAAAAAATGAAAATAAATAAATAAATAAATAAAAGATAATGAAGTAAGCAAAGTGATTTAATCGCTTAGAGATAATTATAAAAATAAATTAGACCAAACTTTATATACATCAAAATTTGATATCCCTTTTATTAGTATAAATTATAAAGTAATATCAATCATTAATAATAGAAAATCAACTGATGATATTATGTAAACATGCATAACAAGTTATGAATATGTTGAATATTAACCAAGAACCATTAATTTTCCTTCAACGACTTAGTTTACTTATTTTTATCCTTACTTATTCTGGAGAAAATAAAATAAAATAAAATAAAAGCTTACCCAAAGTTTGTTAGAACACATTAGATATTTATATTTGTTACTTTACTTTTAAATTGGGTTGGCATAGTATTGGAGAGTTATACCCAAACAACAACAAAAAGGTCCAAAAAACCTAAGTTATTAGGGACATAAGGAAGGCTAACTAAATAATCATAGGTTAAATTATTGTTTTGTCATCCTATTTGTTTCTAAATTTCAATTTGATTTTATTATTTTTAAATGATTCAATTTAATTTTTAATTTTTTAAAAATGTTTAATGTTATTCTTCCGTCCAAATTTACATCAATGATGTTAATGAAATCTGAAAGAAGAACATCATTGAATGTCGTTTGAAAATTAGATGACTAAATTAAATTATTTAAATGTTTAACTTGATTCCACTGTTTTAAAATAATTTAGTTCTCTAATTTTTATAAAATATTTAATATTGTCATTTTTCATCTAATTTCATTAACGTTGTTAGTATCTATTTGGACAAAAGAATAACATTGAACATCTTTTAAAAATTAAAGACCTGAATTGAATCTTTTAAAAATAATGAGACTAAATTAAATTCTAAAAATAAATAAAGAAATTAAAAATATAATTTATCATATATAGGAAACACCAGAAAGCAAACTTCAAAAGAAAAAAAAAATATTAAACACACAACGAACCAAGAAAAAAAAACTAGTCTTTCTTAAAATGTAAACTGTTTATGCCAATTGTATGGAGTATTTAGTTTAAAAGACAGTTGCATATGCATACACTACATGACACAAGTGTTTGTTTCAAGAACACAATTTCAGCTTTGCAAAATAAACACTAAGACACTTTTTCAACGCATGCAACACAACCGATTTCAGCTGGGTCACTTAAAGGGTCTCTCAGATACTGAATAATATAGAAGAAGAAAACGAATCCAAAGACAGATGATTGAGAGACACAGGAAACAAGAGTGTGATATCATAGAAAGAAGATAAATAACAACAAATCATATTACGTTGGGCTCTTCATGTTAAGAAAACATAAAACCTTAGAAGCGTTTAAAACTACATGCAAGAATAGAACATACTTGTAATAATTACCAAGGGAAAGAAAAATCAAAGCAACTTCACAGTCGTCTATGTTGAATGTTGTCAAAGGGAAGAACCTTTGGTTGTGAGCCTCCCTATTATGACTGCATTAAAGTATCTATGTACATCAATATACTATTTGGTATATGATTTTCTTTAACCATTTTACAATTTGTATGAAATATTCAAATGACTAATTTTTTTTTAAAAAAATATCTAATCATTACTTTTAATAGCATT